GATTTTGGTGTTGGAAAAGAAATGGAGGACTTAGACTGCAAACTTCAACACAAAGTTAGTAGCTGTAATTGCTACCTCTCTAGTGGTACAATGCTACGTGGCACCACGACCATGTGAGAGGGGTGCAACAGCAATGCGGCCTCTGGCAATAATGCCCTACAAGTCATAATCGCAGCGCCTACACTTCGTGACAATACGTTTATGGGTCACTGTTGCAACTATAGTGGATGGAGATTGTGAGCAACAACAACACCTCAAAGTTGTTGCTGCAGCGTGAAGACACCATTGTAGTGATTATTTTTGGCTGTCGTTGCTACAACGTGAAGACACTATTGTAGTGACCCTTTTTGAGCCTTACGACGATTGATCTTGGTGCTGTTGTGGCAATTGAGGTTCTATCCCTGACGAGCGGGTAGTGATCATATTCTAAATATGACAGCTATTGGTGATGGGCAAACCCTAGCAAGACAAAATTTCGTTATTCTAGTGAGCTCTAGTCAATTGTTAGACTTGTAATTAGATTTGGGCTTGTACTTGAAATTTCGGAGAGATGGTCCACAATCAATTCAAGGGATGGACTCTACAGTGACCTGAGCCTTGGCAACACGAATTTGAAGAATTTGGCCAGTTGATGGTCCAGTTATAATTATAATATGTTGTAAATATAGCTTCTTCTTGGATGAGCCATAAATAATTCTTATTTCTTTATCTATTTATTAATGAATGTCATTAAACTAACAGACAATATTTATCAGTTTAGACATCGCTCGGTTTATCACTTTTCATACATGCATTAATTAATTTATTTTCTAACGTCTCTATATTAAGTAGAGAACGTGGGGAAAAAATCATAATCAGATCATTTAACTAATTCATTTTTTATCAATAAATGATTTATAATTATTACATGATGAAAGTATTTACAAAATATAAATTGTGGGAGGATACATCTAATAGACAAGCTTGCTCCCACGTTAGTCCATCAATAAGGACTGTGAATGGTTAGTGCCATATATTTATTGAGAAAATTTCATATTGAAGAGATTAATTATGATTCATTTCAAAATTGAGAAATAGAGTTTAAAACTTCAAAAATTAGATAGTATTAAAATTTATTTATGAAAAAATTAATTAAAAATATATTTTATCAATTAAATATATTAAAGTTACAATTCTATACAATTTGGTCACAACTTATAAAATTAATTGATTACAAATTATTTTGCGATCACAAATCAAAGATTGTATAGATCATAATTTATTCATCGGTCACAATTAAAATTTTTTATAGATTACAATTTATTTATTAGTTACAAATCACAAATTTTTGGTCGCATTTATCGATCATATGTTATTTTTGAGTCACAGGATATCCAATTTATTGGTGATAATCTCAAATAATTGGTTATAAATACTCTTAATCCCACCACCTACGCCTACCCAATCCCAATCCACCATGACATCATTTGAAAGTAGCTCCACCTCATCATCACAGCTAGCATCATCACCACCTCCAACACTACATACCATCTTCAACTTTAAAATCACTACCATCACCTCACCACCACAACCACCAACAAAACCACCGCGAACAACAAAAAAGCCAACAAATCAGATCTACAATCCACCAACAAGTTACCACCGCCACCTAAACAACCACCACCATCATTACCCAGAAACAATCACCAACAAAGTACCACGACAACCGCTACCAAAAAGATCCAACAAAATCGTCGTCAGCTTCGCTAACCACCAAATGAAATCCACAACGACATCACATCACCTCACCATCACTGTCAATAATGCCACTACCACCATCATTGCCTCCACTTGACTACAATTACCACCATAACCATCACCACTTGAACAATACCAGTGTCAATACCAACACCACCAACGCCACCACCATCTCACCATCAACATTACAGCCAACAACACCACCACAACCACCTCCTATACCAAAAATCACAACCACCATCTCCATCACGCCACAACCACCACACCCACCAAAAAATCACTAAACCCGATGTTGTTGCTACTACATCACTACAACTGCCATATGAACAATCACCACCACGACCTCTTCAAATCCACAGCAGATAGTAGTCCAACCACATCACCACTCACCTCCTCAAATCCAAGCAAATAGCAAATCAAGAGGAGTGGTGTCATTTCATGCTTGTAACACAGTGCTCCTGCAAGAGGGATCAACGGCCTGAAATTGAGAGGATGAGATGTGTAGAGAGAGAGAGAGAGAGAGAGAGAGAGAGAGGGATAAAGAGAGAAGACAGAGAGAAAAGATATAGAAAAATGAATTAGGGTTTGGACGTAAAATTGGGATGGGATAGACGGGGAGGGGTGGATTCGGGGATGGGTATGTAGATAAATATGATTTTATAATATTATTATTATTATCTTAAAGATAATTATCATCTCATTTTTGAATAAAAATTCTTTCAATCTTTTTTTGAATTGGGAACTTAAAAACTCTATGTGGATGTAATTTTCACTATTTTATTTGTCTCTGTGAAGGAGGGCTGATTCTAGTTATTGGATTGGACCCAAATTTGGTGGTGACGATTCTAATATGGATTATTTGTTGTCCTAAATTAATGGAATTAATTATAAAACTTGGATTATCACCAAAACAAAGGTTGAACACTTAAAAATAACGGAACAAGTTCATATAGAATGTTTCAACAGTGGTATTGATTGCCAAATTAAAATGATGCGAACATGAAATTTTAGGATTGTAAATTTAGCGGAAGGGTCTAAACCTAACCGGTATTTACAATGATCTCTCCTTAAGAAAAACATATTTAAGATTACATGGTTTTTAGGTCATTGTTGTGTTATAGTCTATGCATGCATAAGCATTACACACCATATTACTTGCTCAAATTACTTATGCATATCGTTTAATTTTTGATAACAATGTCGTTTAATCCATTTTCTATAATCCTAGATAAAAATCAACTTGTGGGAGATAATTACGTCGACTGAAAATACAATTTAATGATTTTTCTCACTGCAGAGCAATACTTTTTTTGCTAGAAGATACCTGCCCCCATGAACCAAATGAGGTGACCACTCCTAAGGTTAAGGCTACATATGATAAGTGCTATCACTTTGATGTGATATCTTGTTGCTACATTCTAGCTTCCATGTCGAATGTTTTGCGCTAAAAACATCAGAGTACAAAATTTGCTTGGGACATATGCCTTAAGGAGATCTTTGAACACAAAAGTCGTTAGGCCAGGCATTCCAACGTTAAGTATATAATGAACTTATGGGTGAAACTTGAGATGCCTATTAGAGACACATATTGAACATGATCGAACTATTTAACATGGTAAGGTTTTAGGAGCTAACGTTAACTCGAAGACTCAAATCGACATGGTTTAGAGACCTTGAGATCTTCTCCTTATTCAAAGTGGATTATAATCTCCACAAAATAGACATGTCTCAAACCGAGTTAATTAAAGGGGTTTTGCTACATGTATCCAGGCGTTTACACCCCCGGTTACACGCCCCTCACATGGGGACGGGTCCCATGCATTTATTGTGCACCGGCCCCACCCCCATGTGAGGGGCATGTAAACGCTCGGGTACAAATAGTATTTTCTTAAATAAAGAGCTCTAGAGTGCTGACATGTCCTCAATACTAAAGGTAGGGAGGTATGGTTACTATTTTTGGTAGAAACTCTAGTTATAAGATGAAAGTTATGGGGGGCAACAAAGAAAGAAGTAGAAGGAACAACAACTGGAGAAAAAGGCAACAACTAAGGAAAAGTCCCAAAGAAAGTGATTTCACTGTGGTCAAATGGGGGCACTAGAAGAGATTTTGCCCAAAATGCCTAGCTTCCAAAAAGCAAGGTAAGAGTGCATCTTGTTTAGAGGTTGACTCTACTTAGATTTTGAAGCAACTAACCATATTTTTCGTTCTTTGCAGAAGTTCTAGGTAACCAAATAACTCAATAAGGGCGAGTATGCATATCAGCAACGTGTAATGCGAGAGATGTTGGCACATTTCCTCTTTATTTTGATAATGTTAATCATTTGGTTTAAATACTTGTTATGTAATTTAAATTTTTTTTTTTTTTAATGAAACTAAATAAAGTCAAATGAAGCCCTTCCATTGTTCATTTTCAGAAGATCGCATTTTTATCTTAACTTTATAATCTTTTTCTGTTTCCCTTTTTTTCCACTTTTTTTTAATGTGTCGAGTTAATTGTTTCAACGGTCATTGAACTTAAGTTCATATCTTTGATTGACCACTGAAATTTAAAATGAGTTCATATCTTACATTGCTCACTGAAATTTAAAATATCGAATTTTTGTCATTAAACTTTGAAAAATGTTGTAAATTACAAACTGTAAACTTGACATTTTTCAGAGTTCAACATTTATATAAATGAGTAACACAAGATATTTTTCAAAGTTCAGCAGCCAAAACTCGGCACTTAAAATTTCAATGAGTAATCGAAAATATGGATCTAAGTTTAATGATCAAAACTCAACATTTTAAATTTCAATAATCAATCAAAGACATAGACGGAAGTTCAATGACCATTGGAACGATTAATTCGAATAAGACCGCGCTTGGAGAAGCTCAAAAGAAGGTCATTAAAAGCCCTTTTTGATAAGAACGTTCTTGATGCACTTAGAAGCTTAGCCAAACATGCTATAAGACACGGACTCACAGGTTGGTGTGAACCTGTATCTGTCAAAATTTTAATTCCTTATTCTTTATGCGTCTTTGCGTGCGTTGGGAACGAGATATTTGCATCTGATCTTTCATTTTTAGATAAGAAAAAATTTCTAGATAGAAATCTCTAGCAATCGTTCAATGGCTGAATCAAGATCCAGCCGAGGTAGGTTTTTTCCTGGATTTATTAAAATTATCTGCAACTGCATATAGTGAAAATCTTAGATTTTATCTTCAAGCATCCAAAAAAAAAAAAGCCTTTTGCGCATACTTCCATTTTAAGGTTGTTAAACAACCCCTTTAATTTAATATACAGGCATATGAATATCTGATATAAACATAAATTTGTTTATAATTTGATGATAAATGAAATTGTGGCAGAAAAAGAAGTGAAAGCGCCCAATGTATTTGAGAGGGCAAAGGAAGAGTTTACGGCGGTTTTTCACCATATGAAACTCCCGAATCGCCATCGCAAGGAAACTCATGGACTGCGTAATGATCTCGATGCGAGTACATCTATGGGTGATGTTAAGGCACCAAATGCATTTGAAAGAGCAAAGGAGGAAATTGAGGCCATTGTGGAGGCAATTCATCATAAGAAGGAATCGAAAAGCCACGGTTCATCTTCATATAGTGAAAATAGGTAAAGTCAACGCTTTATTTAAGATGAATTGTGGGATTAAGTTAATTTCTGAACAAATTATGATGATTTGCAGAAATTCTGGCTCAGTGGATCATTTGGAATCAAAGAAACCAGAAATTTCTTCAGGTACATAGTGTGTGCGCTATGACTGTTAATGGCCATTTGAAATTTGCACTTGATAATGTGACATGAAGGGTTCGTATTTGAATAATTATAAAGAAACAACTCCTCTTGTTCAATCTTATGTTTTAAGGAGAAATATTTCGGTAGGATGGTTGCACCGTCCACGTGATTTGACCGTCCTATAAGGAAGGACCACCTCACCACCTTGACGGGCAAGGTGTGTGGTGGGCCACCCGCCGAGGTGGCCCCTCGACATTGGGCAGTTTCACCAGGTGGTGGTGTGGGGCCACCCGTTGAGGTGGCACCTCGACATTGGATGGTTGCACCACGTGGCGGTGCGACCGCCCTACCGAAGGATTTCTTTGTTCTAAGGGTTCTCTTAGAAAGTAGTGCCTAATGTGGGAACAATAAGGGAGTGTTTGATTACATTTATTTTCTATGGAAAATATCAATTTTCCATCCAAATTCTTACGTAGACTGTTTGATTGCTATTTTTTTCCATGGAAAATATTTTTCAACTTTTGAAAATATTTCTAATTTTCCTTGTTTTTATGGAAAATATTTTCCTTGGGTAGAAGTGGTTTTTATTTTTCACAAAAGATGGAAAATATTTTCTTTTATAGGTAATATTTTTCATGACAATCAAACACACTCTAAATGATCACTGGAAACAATAACTCAAATTCTTACGTAGACTGTTTGATTGCTATTTTTTTCCATGGAAAATATTTTTCAACTTTTGAAAATATTTCTAATTTTCCTTGTTTTTATGGAAAATATTTTCCTTGGGTAGAAGTGGTTTTTATTTTTTACAAAAGATGGAAAATATTTTCTTTTATAGGTAATATTTTTCATGACAATCAAACACACTCTAAATGATCACTGGAAACAATAATTATATGATAACAAAATGCATACATAAAATTAAGATATTTAGTTGAAAAGTGTTGAGAAGATATGTTAATTGCAGCAGGTAAGGTTTGAAAACAAGAATGCATCTTATGCTTTAGAAGTTACATTTCTGTTTGGTGCAAAAACTGTTGATAGCTGTTTTACCAATCATCTGATGGTACTAGAGGGTGTTTCGGAATGGTAGGACAGAACTAAACAGAGAGAGTTACCATTAGATTTTCCACTTCAAAATTAGGCAAATTTGTTGGAAATGCTAAACTAGAGTTGACAAGAAAAAATATTCTCTAGCTTTGATAATAAATCATGTTTCGTTACCCCTGTACTTAATGAAACAAGCTTCTCTCATCTGATTCATGTAGATCTTGACGTTTCTTATTTGTGCCAATACAAAATTTTATGAACCAACTTTGCTTGCCGTTTAGCTTCTTTATTCATGCTTGGTTCGTGAAGAATTCAAAGTCATTCCATTCTGATGCCATGTTTTGACATTGGCAGAGAAGGACGGGAAGGCACCATATCATATTAAACGGAAGAAGGAAGAGATTGAGACACTGATGCACAAAGGGAAGTCGCCACACCATCATCATAAAGAAACTCATGGAAGGAGTGACGATATTGATGAAAGTACACCAATCAGCAAAGTTAAAGGCCCAAATGTGTTTGAACGAGCAAAGGAAGAAATTGAGGCACTTATTGGGACAATTCACCCGAAGAAGGATTCTGATAATGCTGTGCCCTCAACAAAGAAGAAAGGTGGTTTGCCAGTATCTATTGGAAGAGGGTTGGAAAAGTTTTGCTCTCCTCGCAGTCATAATAGGGATTGATATTTTAATTGTTATGAAGATTAGTTTTTTGAAATTTACGTCATGAAAACCACATTTTATGAAATTTAACAGAGAATAAAAAATTCCTTTCAAATTACAATTTCTTGGAAGGAGAACGAGTCTTTCTATCCCAAAGCCTGAAGGCGACCAGGTAACAGGACAAAATAAAAATGACGTTGGGTCGATAAAAATGATTGGATCGTCCTCTTCCTATGCAGGTTTGTTCGATTGATAAAAATGGTAAATGGGTGGATGTTTTCTTTACTTTTTCTCCTAAAGTTGTAGTTTAGCAGCTGGGGTTGGATCCAATTTCACAAAACATGGAGATGCATGACGAACTTGTGCTTTCTCTATCGAACTCAACCGCTGTTCATTTTTCTTCCCCGGGATACATAGTGTCTGATTTACACTTCAAAATGATGCTGCTTCATTTGATGTTGTCATTGACTTCTCTCAAAACTCTCTTGTAAAGGTGAAAACTTCACAACCCCCAGCCAGCCAGGCACCAATTAAACTCAAAATAAGAAAAGTGAGGAAAAAGTTTGACAACCACTGATTTGTGTACAATGTTTTACTGATTCTCTTTAATTTTTTAGGTCGTTGGAAATCAAAGTATCATAATAGTATCCATATGCCACTTCATTTATTAATTAATTCATCATATAATGGAAATGGTGCAACTCTGAAAGCACATTTCTTCATGGGAAATTCCACTCTAGTGTACAGCCCCCATGGATACTGATGACGATTCTGGGATAGCTCAACATGGGATTGGAATACTTTGGAAGAGTGCCCAATGTAAAAGCAATGATTCATCGAACATGAAAAGTTTTCAACAATGCTTTTACAGAAAACATAGAAGAACTCGACTGTACAGCGGCTTCATCACCACCATCTGTGGCAATGATGGAATTGGAATCTAGTGGTAAGTTCAGGTTTATGAGGAGAAACGAGTTAATTAAATCATCAATCACTAACATTTGCCTCCAATTACTACTTGCTCACCCACTTAAAAAAAAAAAAATTATCCATCCATCACTCATTTCACTTTCATCCATCCAACTAAGCAAAAATGTCTATGTGGCAGACGAATTTGTCACCACCATCTGTGGCAATGATGGAATTGGAATCTAGTGGTAAGTTCAGGTTTATGAGGAGAAACGAGTTAATTAAATCATCAATCACAAACATTTGCCTCCAATTACTACTTGCTCACCCACTTAAAAAAAAAAAAAATTATCCATCCATCACTCATTTCACTTTCATCCATCCAACTAAGCAAAAATGTCTATGTGGCAGACGAATTTCTTACATGACAACTAACACTGTTAAATTTGACAATTTGGATATTACTAGTTCCATTAATAATGCATTCTTCCCATAAATTAAAGACGCATTCTTTCCATCCTCTACCAATCTCCCAATCTTCCATACGAAATCATACTCGAGGCTTCATTCCAACAAATCGCGTTTGTCAAGATTTTCATAAGTTGAATCCCAAAGTGAAATTGTTTCAAATCAATCCACAAATTGAGAACTCATCAGATAAAAACCCTAGATTTATCACCAAAAAAGGACAATCAAATTGAGCTGTAATAGTTGCATCATCATACTTAGTTGCTTTATGTTGAGGATTTGGGCTTCATGACAAGGATATGATCTAACTTAATGTTTGCATTTAATTGCCTGAAAATTTCTCAGGTTTTATAATGTGTAATGACCATTACATTTACCTGTTCGATTACAGATAATCGATTCAAGGAAAATGTAGTGTTATCTTATGAATACAAATTGATTGAATGTTAATGACGATGATTTTCATTATGATAACAATGAAAACGAAGGGATTTTGGTCGGATTATATGCAGATCATGCTGTAAATCTGTTTGCAGTTCGGGATAAAAGGCCAGCGATAACAAAAAAACAAAAGGTTGTTCTGGGATCAGTTCCATATGAACCACCAAGAGTAAAGAAAAATTTAGCAACTCAACAGTACATTTATGTTGTTTGATGGCTATAATTTAGATTATGAAAATGATAACTATTTTTTGAATTAATGTTCTTTTCTTGTACATCTGACTGAATATTTTTTGTCGATGTACAAATGAATCAAATTATGCTTAGTATATGGTTGAATGAAATTTTATATTTTGGCATATAGTTTAGTGGATTGGAAATTTGGAATGCTTGGTGTACAACATTCTGGTGTCATACAATTGGCTGGAGTTTTTGTGACAGCAGATTCCCATGTCATTCTGGTGTTATACAATTCTGAGGAATGCAAATGACTAGATAAATTACGGCATCTGGTGCCTCAGATTTTACAAAATCATTTCCACTAATGCTGACCATGTTTTTAACTATATGCAAACTTCTAAAATGAGGTTATACGTCAGAATACTTGGGAGCTGTCCATGCTGAAGCTGCCCAGGTTAATATGTTGAACTTCTAAAATGAGATTCTACTGCAGAATACTTGGGAAATGTACATGTTGAAGCTGCCCAGGTTCAAGGGTTCAAGGTCTTGGTTTATCTAGTTCTTCATAAGGTTCATAAGAGAGGATTCAACAAAACATCAACACTGCAATATTTCAGAGACGAACCATTAATTAAACACAGACATACATCAACACCATATATTAATTAAACAAGAAGAGGAACCATTTAATTAAACATTGCAAAACATATGATTTCCTTTGATCATTCTATAACCATAAACACTCGCACAACACCATCAACTTAATGACATCACCAACGACTACCAAACACAAAATAACAAACTACAAACTATACATTCAAAACACCATACCTAGTACTTTTTTCCTACAATTCCAATCACAAATAACATCCTACCAACTAAAAGACATAAATTTATGTCATAGTCTTCACTTCTTAAGATTTGCATCAACTACAGATGGAAATTAGGATTTGAATCAACCCTCTCTAAAGCAAGTTGGAACTCCAGGGGAAAACAAGAACTTGAATCAACCATAGATGGCAATTAGGTCACTAGTGGGATGGTTGATAAGAAATGGAGAAAATTATTAAGGGCAGGTGCCAATTCCAATGAGGAGCCAATGAGGAGTCCTCTGTTTCTGCGAAAATCCCAAGTGGAGAAATAGGTTTAAAACCCCAAAATGAACTCCATTCGAGGAAAAGGAAAGTTGTTTCTAGAGGAAAGCCCAAGGAAGATTCATCAACTTCAGCTAAGGTATAGCTATTTTTTCAGTCAGATGTACAAGAAAATAACATTAATGAATACGATTTGGGAAAAAATTTTGATGAGGATTAGGAAAAATCAGACTTACCAAGGTAGAGAAAAAGAAGGATTCTTGAATTTTTGAGAAGAAAGCGCTATTAATGAAATGGTAATATCAAACTTGTCAAATTTTAACGGTATTACCCACCATGTAAAAAATCCGTCTGCCGCTTAGACAATTTTCCTTAGCTGGATAGATGGAAGTGAAATGAGTAATGGATGAGTAACCTTTTAAAGGTGAATGAGTAAATAGTAACCGAAAGCAAATGTTAGTGATTAATGATTTAATTAACTCGAAGAGAAACAATTATAGCCCATACTATTCAGCTTTTGTCATTGTTTTGATTGGTTATTTTACATGAGGATTAAAATAGATTTTATTCAACTGTATTCTCAAGGATGTTTATACATTAAGGAGTGAAAGAAGAGCAGCTTTTCAATATTTGTAATTTTTTTAATCTCATCTTTCCATTCGGTATAGTTATTATGGTCATAGAATGAACACAGCAAGAAATGAGAGTGATTAGATAGCTTTGTGTCCATGCTAGTACAGATAACATTAGAAGTGAGAATCTATGATTAATTAAGGGTTCGTTTGATGGAAAAAGCCATTTGAACAACCCCAAGTGCCCCCCAATAGGGGGCTGCCACACAACCCGTAGGATGCAAATGGCTAAATGAAGAGAAGCAGTGATGGAAGAAATGCGAGCATTGGAAAAATGAGACTTGGGAGGTGGTGGATCTTTCGAGAGGAAAGAAACCCGTAGGATGCAAATGGATTTTCAGTGTGAAGTATAAAGCTAATGAAACAATAGAATGATGTAAAGCTCGTCTTGTTACAAAAGGGTTACATACAAATCTATGGTATTGACTACACAAAGACATTTGCCCCTTTAGCCAAGTTAAGCACAATCAGGGTTCTTCTTTCCTTGGTAGCTAACTTGGATTGGCATCCATAATAACTGGATATTAAAAATGCAATCGTTAATGGGGACTGGAAGAAGAAATCTTTATGACCCTACCACCAGGATTTTTGTAAAAAGAAAGAGCAGAATCATGTTTGTAAAAGAGTAGAATCATGTTTGTAAACTCAAAAAATCATTGCATGGCCTCAAACAGTCACCTAGGGCATGGTTCGATATATTTGCAGAAGGATTGAAAAATCAAGGTTATTAACAAGGACAATTAGATCACACCATATTCTAATCGTATATGTAGATGATATAATCCTAACTCGAAACAATATAAATGAATTTGAGAGACTTAAGATAAACCTCGCAACAGAATTTGATGTGGTACTTTTTAGGAATAGAAGTAGTAAGATCAAAAAAGGGAATTAGTGTTTCACAATGAAAGTATATTCATGATTTCCTAATAGAAACAAGCATGCTTGAATGTAAACCAAATGACACACCTATTGATTTAGCAAGGAAAACAGAAGATATTGGAGATCTAGTTCAGACAGACAGTTATGAAAGATCTATTGGGAAGTTGATCAACTTGTCTCACACTAGACTTGACATTGCTTTTGCGGTAGGTATGATAAGCCAACATATGCATTCTCCAAAACAAAATCATATGAAAGCAATATACAGAATCGTCAAATATCTTAAAAGAACACTAGGAAAATGATTATTTTTCAAAAAGAATGAAAATTGGAAATAAAGGTCTTCATAGATGAAGATTAAGCAGGTTCAACGGACGATAGAAGATCAACTACTGATTATTGTACCTTTGTATGGGAAAACTTAGTAACATGGAGGAGTAAAAAGCAAAATGTAGTGGCAAAAAGCAGTGTAGAGGCCGAGTTTAAAGTGTTGGCACAAGGGATATGCGAAGGAT